ACATTGGCTTATAAAATTTGTTTTTTTTTTTACATGTTACACTTATTCTTTTCTTATATATACAGCACGAAAAAAAAATTTTATCTTGCCCAAACATAGGTTGCTATCTTATGGCCAGACTTTGATTAGAGGGTTTCTATGATTGACGGCCCCAAACGTTTTCTGAATGATGCGAAATTTCCAACTCACTCGTGAAAATTGGACCCCTTCGGATCTCGAAACGCGATGTTGTGTGCGTAATGATGGGATGAGATACTTTAGATAATTTCGTACAGATAGTACAGCGTTTTTGTACTTAGTTCCTACTCACCCGACGAATTGTGATAAGCGTCTGACTTGGCGATTCTGCAAAATTCAACGTGATTAAGTTTTCGAGCGTGTGATCGTTTTCCGTTCAACATCGTTGCGTGAATAATTGATCGGTCCCGTTCATCGTGCTTGCAAAATAGTTACCTACCATTTTCCTCCAAGCAGAATGTATCGGTTATTTCTAGAGTAGCGTGTGAACCGAGTATATTTTTCTAGTTCACAAAGACGCGTTTTTATTCCCGTTAAATCAGGATTTTCCGCTCGTCGATGGACTCGCGTTAAGAGACCTGCCTCCGTGTTAAATTTTTAAATGTGCAAGATTGTTAATTCGTTTAACTTGTAGACAGATAGTAGATATGAAAGTACATGGAAATCTTATATGTATGTTTGAGATATCAGAAATTTTAATATCGACATCAAATATCAAATGTTGGACGAAGGTGCTTTGAAATAACTTTAACATCATATCAAGAAAACGAATAAAAATAATGTTTACAGTTCAAATGTCAGGAATTTTTAAAGGGCTTCTTGTATTTTAACGACGCAGCGATTTGCATACAATAGAAGTCCCTGATATAATATTCTAAAGCATTAAAGTCATTAAAAATATTATCTCTTTGTACGTATGTGAGTGTATATGCACACGTGTGCGTGCATGTGTGTGCGTGTGTTATTTTCGTAAAGTATTTATTTTATTTTAAATTGAAGACTATTATACAGGGTGCCCCAAAATTAGCAACTCAAAATACTATGGCAAGAAAATTTTTGAAAAATTAAGTCTAAAAGTTATTAGTAAATTTTTATTTCAGGCGATCATTTTTGAGATGATAAGGGAAGAGATAAAATTTAAATATAGTCAGTAACAGACTATATACATTTAGATGGCCATCTATCCGTGAATCTCGGTAGTATTAGTAAGCGTTCTCTAGCACACTAATACTGACAGATGTCCATCTAAACGTAGTCTGTAATCTTGGCTATATTAGAATAGAATAGAATTTCATTCTCTTCTAGTATTTACAAAGAGGGAACTTGCCTTACAATCGTTGTTCCTATCTCACTCATTCATCCATACCTTCCTCATACGCTCTCCTACTTTAAATTGTTTATTACTTCTGTCTTTCTTTCTACCTTTATTATTGCTCTTTAATCTTATCTATCTTAAATATATTATCACAGCCACACAGTATACACACAGTAACACATTCAGTACGCACAGTAATTGACATATTTAAATTTTTATATAGAAACTATTGCTTAAAATAAAAATTTACAAATACCTTTTTTACTTAATTTTCCGAAAATTTTTTTCCCTAGTATTTTGAGTCACGAATTTTGGGACAGCCTGTATATAAACGTGTTCATATTTTCTTTTCACTTTCCGGAAACTGTTTACGATCGAATTTCTTTCCGAGGTAACTCGTTCAAATCGCTCGGCACTTCGTTCTGCATTCAAGATCACGCGCGTCTCTTTGTTCACGAAGAAACCTCTTCTTCCGCGGTGTTCTCCAGCGGAATTGAAAATACCTTCGAAGAGAAGGGAGGAGGAGGGGGGGGGGTTTACGGATCTCCGGCGATTTGCCGGAAGTGGCCTAGCCGCGTTTTCCGCCGCGCGTCGTCGTATTATCCGCTCGTTAAAGTCGGAGGTGAAATTACGAGCGTGCGACGCGACGGCGCGATTCGAAACGTGAGGAACGGAACTCGCTATGCGATACGAGATCGTGAAGGTGGGAAGGAGATACTCGTGGATCTCGCTGTGCACTTCCGTTCGTCTGTCCGTCGTTAAGCCTCCGTATGTACTTTCACTCGGATATTAGAGACGATGACGAGCACGCCGGCTGGCTAATCCGTGACGCTCATGGACGTCAAGCTCGTGAAGATGCGCGCGCGCGATGAAAATTGTTATCCTTATTATATTCCTATCGAAGCACGAAAGTATCGCGCTACAATGAACCGCGTGCGAAGACCGCCGTCTCGCTTCTCGCGCCAGGAATACGAAAGCATCACGAACATAAGTATCGCGAATTATTTTTCTACGCAGCGCGTTTCCCTTTTCAATCGTGAATTTTCCGGCGAGTTCGGTGTCAAGAGATAATCGTCTCGACTCGTTTTTCAAACTGTCACAGTTTAGAACTTCAATATTTTGAAATACGGAGATTTGCGTATCTCCATTTCTCGATTTATGATAAACGATAATAAGGAGGATTTTAATGGTCTCTCGAATTTTTAATCGTTTTACTTCGTCTTAATCGTAGACTTTAATTGTTGACTTTAATTGTTGTCTATGGGACGAATCATCAAATTCACAGTTCTTAAATGGGAATACTTCATTAATATATCACATTATAAATCTGGAACGTAAATCTTTAATTTCTTGCTTTCCTGAGTTTTTGCATCTCTTACATTTTTATGCGTTCTTTATATTTACATTCGAGAAACTAAGATAGGGAGAAATTATGGATTTCAATATTTATTTGTGCTTCGAGGTTGATCTCCTATCGTTTCTTTTGTACGAATTTAAGACAGGTGGAGGAGCCGCGTGTCGAGAATGTGGGAGAAACTAGTAGACATTATATAATAGCTTATGAGAATGCTCTCATAAGACGGCCACGTATCATTTACATATCAATGAACGTACGTTGTAATCGGCGACGCAACGAGAAACCTATACATATCATAAAGTGTGCTCTATTGTATATTAGATAATTAGTCGCGAAGAGGAGGAAATAATAAGATAAGACTATGTGTATATATAACATGTATCCTTTAGGATGAAAACGCTCGTCGTTCTTAGGGTGAAAGGGGATACTTGTGCTTATTCTACTACCACGAGTGTCCTTGTTGATCTTTATGCGCGTAGCTTAATGCCGAGAAACTCTTAAGAGAAAGAATTTTGGAAATTTTGTTAAGAGCCTTGTAGATTATTTAAAATAAATACTTTTTAGAATCGCAATATAAATGACTGAAGTAAAACAAAATTGTTTTGGCATCACTTTCTTCTTGTCGATAAAGAATCTTCATAATTAAGAA